ACGGTATCTTCTTTTACCAGGTACGGTACGGTATCTTTGCTCAATAATACAGTAAAGAAGATGGACTTTATCCCTCTTTTAGCCATGTGTTATATTCTNATTATCGATTAGTTTGAAAATCTTGAACAACCTTGTTTGTGGAACGAACGTTTACGGGAATAAAAAGAGTTATAAGGATGGATACTGCCTACTTTTAAGACAATTTTAGTGCTATTTAAGTTTGTCTCTTCAATTTATAGGTATAGAAAAAGAGAAGCAGCGAAATACCGAAAGTAAACCACGTATTGCCACAAAGAGTATGTTTGGTTCATTGTCCCGTTTGGCTAGTGATGCATTCAAGGGTGCGAAACAGGCTACTGAGCAACTTGCGCAAGTTGCACAGCATACTAGCTCTACTTCCAACTTGACAACAATCATCGAGGTTGGCAGGCGTTCTTGTTTCTTTTCTTACGACATAGCAAGCTGAAAATACAATGAAATTTGCAATACTTGATTTAAAACTGTTTTTTTTTCCTAGGTAATGCCATAATACTTTCAGTTCTAATGAAACTGATTTTAGTCTCATTATTCTCGTTAAGACTACAACAACAACTGGGTCATTTAAGTTTAAACTTAAATTTGTTTTCGAAATGTTTGTTCTCTCTTTCACTATTTTTTCAATTTTCCTTTGAAATGGAATTAAAAACTGTTAGACTTATCATATCACAATACTAATCACATCTCTGAGTGCAAAAAAAGGTTGATTCTTTAAAATCTACAAAATTTTATACTTGGATTTTTTTGTGAATTGCTGTTTGCAGTGTTCGCTGATGAACATCAAATTTATACATGTTTGATTTGTAGCCAAAATCTCTGCAAACGGTGCCATCGTCGTATCCGTTATCTCCAAGTCCATCCTTTCCTGAAAATGAATTATTGCCTGGTTTGAGCAATTTGTCAGAGGAAGAACGTCAAAAAATCATGGCGGTAATGGCAAGCGCTGAATTAGACATGGCATCGACTAGTGTATCACCAACTCCGGTCAAAATATCTATTTTGCATACACTGGATTCATTTTTCAAGAATGAGGATCGAAGGTTGTTGAAATTTCTTACGCCCTGATAGCTCCACATTCCATTTTCAACTGTTATCCAGAAAGTTTGTCAATATTGATTTTTTTTAAATTACAAATCGTGTTAATTTCTTCACTGAACAAATGGCATTATCGCAATTTAATATTTTTAGAGATTCTATAAGTAGTTTATCTGAACAGTCGAAAGTGGATTCTGTCTCAATCGGTGAAGTAGAGTCGAAGTCGTCTGTTGTGATGCCCCTTTCCTTTGTATCCTCGGACATTGTGGGTGAAGTGGATTTGTCATATTTGTCATCAGCCGAACGAAGCCAAATTATCAGCGTGATGAAAGCTGCCGAGTTTGAGGAATCAAATATCATTCCGCCTGTGTCATCATTGTTTCCGGTCTCGAATACACCGCTCCTAACCATGCCGATTAATGGTTTGTTTCTTAATTGAAGTATCTCGATACAAATCATTCTAGTTTTTCCTTGTATTAAATTTAGGAATACTCCAGATAATCAATAAAATAATGACTGAAGGTAATAATTTTGCCATTATGTATGTCTTGAAGAAACTTTTTCATTGCGTCATTCTTCTGCGCATTCTTACAGAGGGGGTCCACGATAATTTAGCAGGGCTTTCACCAACTGAAAGGGCCAAAATCGTATCTGTAACGAAAGAAACGAAAGATGCACAGGAAGGACATTTCGAAGCCACTCATGCGATTTCATCTCAACCTGTTTCCCAAACTGGTAATGTTTTTTCTTAAATTCTTGAAATAATAAAAATCTGTATCTGAAAACTAGATCCAATTCAATTAAATAAAGTGCAGGAATAAGATTTGAATAAAGTACTAGTTATAATAAAGCATAAGTAATCTATTTGCATCCAATGTACCAAATAAAAACCATTTGTTTTAGAAACATCAGGAGATTACATTGAAGAAAATGGATGGCGTGAGGATAAAAAATCTGGAGATATTGGTGATCAGGATATGGCCAAGCATGAAATCCTTACGAACTTTGTGGAATCATCTGCTACATCCTCCACCAGTGTCACATTACCGCAAATCGATAGTGATTACACAATAACTGAAAATAGCAGCTGTGATTCCGACTTCAGACATCCAAGCATCGTGTCGAGTATTGTCACTGGAACTGATATCCAGGAAACAGATATCCCATCAGCACCAGGAAGCAGTGATTATGGTAGCGCCGATTTTGATTACACTTATGGAGATGATCGTAGGTTTATATTTGATGGTGCCAGTCAACTGGAAGATTCTCTGAAAGAAAATCAAGATGCGGACAGTGGTATTGGAACTCTCGATTGGTCTGATCAGGTGGAAAATTCATTCCGCTTTCATATTTTAAGGAACCAATTCATCCTTTCCATTACCTTCAACTTAGTTATTAATTTAGTGCAAAAAAGCATTAAAAACACTTCTGCGAAACTCTAATGGCTGAACACTGTCCTTCATTGGTTACAGCATTAAATAGCTTTAGTTAATATTTCTTGATGATTTCCTGACTTTAAATGCAGCTGGAAAGCAAAAGTTAGTATGTAGATGATGAAAACGTAATATTTTTAAGGGACATT